AAAACATGCGTATAGACGATAAAAAGCGCTTAATAACGCCACATCACGGCGTAATTGAAGAGGCTCGAGGTGTTTAGTCACCTCTTTATCGCCAATGATGCGGATCGCGCGCCGCTGTAACCTATCCAAAGCATCAAAAAGGTACTTGGCAGAGCCATCCTCTGGGGTGCGAACAATATTCCACGCAAGACCGTACTTACGTCATGTACAACAAGCATAGTTGCTCAGGCGTAAAAAAACGTTAGTTTTACCGTGAAAGCGCAGACCTGGGCTTTCTTGGTAATGAACTTAACCAAGTGCTTGGTACCGCATTCCGAAATGCAGTCCAAATCTTGATTGAGTTCAATGACAAGTTTCTCCCGTTTCTCTTTGGTTTCTACCTGTCCAGGGGCTGCGTATCCAAAATATCCCGCATGCACTGTATTATCGTCTGCATAGCAATGAATATTCTCAAGAGGAATTAAATCATTGAATGCAGCATAAAGAGTTTAGGGGATAGGAGGGAATCCTGAGAAACACCGGCATTCACTGACATGAACTGCAAACTACATTCGTCGCCGTCCATTGACGTTCATGCAGGAAGTCAGCCACTCGGGCACAGAACTGAGTAGGCAGACCGTATCCAGGAAGCTTGGAGAGAAGACTTATGTGCCAGACCCTATCAAAGCCTTGGCGATGTTAAGGCTGATAGCCAAAGACTCACCTCGCTTATTGATAGCCTCACCTCAGATATATGTCATGTACGCTAGAAGGTCACCTGTCGATCGATTCTGTCTATCCTCTTTTACTTGCCTCAAATATAACGCAAACATATTATATGTATTTTTTTTGCACAAAGCGACAGATTTGTTAGTTTTTACTTCATCTAGTAAAATTAAAATATCTGGTAAAATTCAAACAGTCAAAGCCAATTACAGGATACTCACTGGATATTTACTCTAAGTATCTACATGAAAAATGAGTTTAAATCCGAAATTTGGTTTCAGCGGTAATACATTTACCAACTTAAGTGTTTTGAATGGGTTTATTAGGTTTTAAATCAAGAATTTTGGAAATAATTTGCAGTTATTCTGTTTATTCATTAGCTATTTCACGAAGTATGCGTCGTAAAGCATGATGGGTTGTACCTGTAGATGCGGCTTAATGACACGGGTCGATTGGTATTATAAAAGTTCAGTAGCGGAAAAGTGCAGATAATCGGTTTTAGCACTAAGGGGACGATTTACTAACTAATAAACTTCTCGCTTTCTAAACGCGATTTGTTCGTTATTTTGAAAATGTACATATTAATAATTATAATTATTAATAATAATTAATAGGAGTAACAATTAATTAATTCTTCATTAATAATTCTTATTAAAAAATAATGAACAAAAATATTTACAAAGAATAAGGAAATTTATTTAAATTCAAAATAGGGAACCCTTCTACTACAAAGGCGATGTTCTTGGCTGTATCATTTAGGTGGTCATTTTTTTACCATTTCGGTAGTCAATTTTCATTTCAGTGGACTGCCGAAAACTCCTGCTTAAATATTTCAGTAAGTGGTGATTGTTGAATTTGACCCGTAGGATCGTTTAAAAATGGAAAAAAAACCATTAACAATATATTATCTTTTTTTATTTTGCACCTTTAATTGCATTTTGTGCAAAGACTATGGGAGATGCGCAAAAATATGTTGATACCTTTTTTGTAGGAAATTAAATTTTCTACAACTTTGTACTAGGAACTTTTTCTATTTTTCCAGCCAGTCGCGAGATATTGCCGAAAAACTCGTTTTTGCACCATTTGGCATTTTTTTTTCACCCTTTGCCATCAATGCAGCACCCTGCAATTTTAGTATATTAATCTACGAACTCTTGCGGAAATTTTCGCGTTGGTTGCAGGTGATCAACTCAAAATGGCAAAGTTAAGCCTTCATTGACTGGACTATCTGGGTCATATTATACTTGTCTTTTTAGGGAGTTAATGATTAAGTTATATTGTATTAAACTTTCATGGTCACTAATATTATAGTAATAACGGTGTCAATATAAAATTATATCATCTTAATCATTATAGTAATATAAGTTATTTACGGGATTGTTACCATGTACCTTGGTTTTAGCGAGTTTCCGATATTTCGGCACTGATCAAGCGCCATGATCACGGAGTAACGGAAACTCGCTAAAAACAAGGTACATGGTAACAATCCCGTAAATAACTTATATTACTATAATGATTAAGATGATATAATTTTATATTGACACCGTAACAATATAATATTTTGTAAATATTGTTACATAATTATTTAGCGCTGTTGAGTATTAGGTTGGGGAAAAGGTTATTCGCATTTTTTTCCGTGACTTTCTGAAAATGTTCTTTTATAGAAACATTGTCCTGACAATAACGAACCCAATAAAAAAAGAATGATCCAATTTGGTTTAATCTTTCGGCAGTGATGCGCATACATATTTTTCGACGATTGATTTTTAAATATAAACATATACAGATATTTGGTAAGGTCATTGTGGTGGAATAATAAGTGCACAAATACTCATTCAATTATAAAATACTAAAACATTTTTGAAAGTCATTTATAAAACGAATCAAAGCGTCTGTAAAACTGAATTTACCTAATGGTGCTTTTTTTAAGCCCCCGTAATCAATGAAGTATGGGGCATGAGGGATTAACAGCAGTCTCCGTTGGGAATTCGGAAAAGTGTGAGGAAGTGGCCAATAGGGATGATGACTAATTTTTCTTCGTTTATCAGGTAGATTATCAATAAAGTATTGGACACGTATTTTTTCTTTTTTAAACATTGCAGAGATATATTGATTTGAAAAGTCGCATGACGTCACGTTTCGGTACAAAATAAATGTGACGTCGTGAGCCAACTTTGACGCGCTATAACTTAGTAATTTTTTTTTGTTGATTGCCCAAAGAAAAAATACGTGTTCATTATTTTTTGGTCATCTAACTGACGGACTAAATAGAATTTCGTTTACTGTACCCCGTCATCACCCCTATTGATCTCGAATCTCTGCCACAGCAGTTGTCTTCGTATCAACACTCCAACCACACATAAGTGAAGTCATCTTTCTACCAGCCTAACTAGTGGGTTAAGATCTTATATAATTACAAGCAGCCGTTCGCCACTTTGTCCACGTTAACTTTCGTTTTTTGCAAACCCCACGTTTTTTCGGGGTAAAAAGCATCCTTTGTCTCAATCCGGGTAATAAAATATATGTGTGCATTTCATCCAAATCCGTTTAGCCGTTTTTGCGTAATTGAGTCACATTGAGAAACATACATATATACTAGCTGACCCAGCGAACTTCGTACCGCCCTAAAAAAATAGGGGTTGTCCAGCGGACAAAATTGTGAATCTAAACCATTCTCAGATCCCCTTGAACACACACAAAAAATTTCATCAAAATCGGTCCAGTCGTTTAAGAGAAGTTCAGTGACATACACACTCACAGAAGAATTATATATATAAAGATATATATACATACAAACTTACACATTGATTATAAATATTAGTAGGATAAATAATATGTATCAACATTATCAAGTTTTAACAAAGTTGCGTGGTCATTTATTAAAAAGTGTTTTAAAGTTAACAAATAATAAAGTTGTAATGTCACTGAACTAAGGAGTAGTCCCCCAGTTTTCCAAATAAAATTGCAAACTTTTCCTTGATTTTTCTCTATCGACGTAAGTACTTATGTAGTACGTAATTAAAACGTAGTGGTAATGCTTATTCAATGTACCTCATAAATTAAATAACAAGGTTCAATGTACCTCAAACGCTTTAATAGAAATTACGATAAATCGCCTCATCCATCCCTCGGCTGTATTACGCTCGGACATCTTAAAATTTCACAGATCGTAGCATGTCCCAATTTACCTCTCGATTCACGAATTAATTCTAAAGGATCTACATAATAAATTCAACAAGAAAGTTTAGTCTATCCAGTGTGCACCTTTGTATTTTGATTCATTACGAGCAGAAAAAGCGAACTATTATTAAGGACTAGCTGTGCCCTGCGGTGTTACCCTCGGTTTATTAGGGATATTTCCCCGCAGTAAAACGTATCTTTTGTGTTAACCCAGGGTGTCAGCTAACTCTAAAGCTAGACTTAAAGAAGTAACAAACATACACACTCACAAACTTTCACCTTTATAATATTAATGTGATTACCAATGTACCTGACAATTATTCACGATTCACCAACTCTTTCGTGGCTTTTCTAATGTAATTTTTATCATACTACAGTAAAGAATAATAAACTGTATTATGCCTCTGCCACACATGCGCGACGAAGCTTTGTACGTACTTATTGCAAATTTTAAATAGTAAAGCTATGAAAAAGTTGGTAAACCGTGAATAAATTGTCAGTTAATCCATAATAATAGTGGCTTTTTCTGCTCGTAATCATTCAAAATTCAAAGGGCAACGCTGGATAGACAAAACTTTCTAACTAAATTTCTTCGGTACTAATAAAAATCCGTTAGAGTTAATACGTGAATTTTTAAGTACTCCGAGCGTAATACAGTTGAGGGCCCCGCTGGATGGATGTATCGACATTGAACCATTTTATTAAATTCATTAGATACATTGAATAAGCTAAACATTACCACTACTATTTTGATTCCAGCTTGAATATCCCCGCTAGATGTAAACGTAGTGACAGGGAAACAGCTGCTGTCAGGTTTAAGTTTGCGTTTGGGAGGTCGTGTCGGAATCGACGCCAGTATGGTATATATTAAGCGGTATTTATTATAAGTTGTCTGTATCTTTTTGTTATTTTGTAAAGTTATAAGTATTATATGTATCCGTGTACTGTGCTGAATAAACCATTTTGATTGATTGATTGATTGAGCTATAAACACATGATGTAACTACTATTTTTACCCCATCGTTGAATGTTCATGATCTGTTAAAGTATAAAGTATGCATATTACCTTCAAACCTTTTGTTTCTGATATTTCAATGACAACATTTGTGTTTTAGTTCGTCGCACATCCAAACGTTCAGCAGCTACTAGGAGCAATATGGTACGAAGGCCTACCAGGATTCAAAAGAAAAAACATAGTTGGACAGTGTATACAGGTACGTGTTAATTCGTTGGACAGAGTATACAGGTACGTCTTTATACGTTGGACAGTGTATACAGGTACAACTTTATACATTGGACAGTGTATACAGGTACGTGTTTATTCGTTGGACAGCGTATACAGGTACGTGTTTATTCCCGAAGACTATCATAGAAGCATGTTTACTATTCTCTATCTTATCGTCGTTGCCTACCCTGACCCAATCCCCGAACCAGGAGCACTGAATCCGTACTCACCGACAGAAACACAACACCACCAAAAGGTAGTGTCATTTTAAGAATATACACTGGATATAGGCTGGGACTTTGTTTTTTTAAGCAATCTCTCAGGCTTGACTAGGAACCGAAGTTTCCCGTTAAATCAGTAATATTTTATCTACAACTGTTTTAACTACTTATACTCATAAAAAATTACAATGTAAAATAAATAGGTAAAGCATATTCAAAAATGTTCGTTAGCCACAGATTCCCAATATGTCAATATGGTTATCGGGAAACATTTCTCACCCAGCCTATACCTATTTTAGCGTTGTTAAAGTATGGTCAAAGAAGAGTTTTTTAAAGTAGTAATAAACCTCTTCTATTAATTTTGATATATACAGTGGAGGTCATATAATTAAGAACACTTCTAGCAAAGACAACATTTTAAAATTCCAATGTTCATAACAAAAGAAAGTGTTTCTTTTTGATAAATATTGGTTATTAAACCTTTCGAAGACTAACATAATCGAAAAATAAATTAGGATATAGGTATATTGTATTACTACTGTTTAGTTTACTGTCATTTAAATATTAAGAACGAGAGAAAAACTTAGTAATAATATTAGCAATAATTTAATAATTCGACTATAACTAATAATTAATATAATGATGGGGTATTGTAATTAATTAAATAACATCTTTTTTCAAAATAAATTGGATAAGAGACATTCCACTAAATATTAAATTATTATTTCATATTTAGTGGCGTGTTCTTGGCTGTGGATAACTGTATGACAGCGGCGCAGCATCAACCTTTCAACTTTGTGCAAGTTTCAACTGAGAAATTCCTCTCTTCCAAAAACGAGTCGTACAGCTCATTAATGTTACTGCACCGTCTGTTTGATAGTTTCTTTTTCACTTGGTACCAAAGATATTCAATTGGATTAAGATCTGGGCTGTTAGGTGGCCACTCTAATACAGTTACCAGTTGACTATCGAGGTATCTATGAGTAGAGAGTGCAGTATGCTTTGGGTCATCATCGTGCTGGAATTACCAGGAGATTGTCATCTGCATATGGCAACATACATTCTTCAATTATCTCTTTGTATTGATACTGGTCCATGTAACCTTGTATAAGCCTAGTAGGTCCTATGCCATAACCAGAAAAGCAACCCCAAATCTTAACGTTTCCACCGCCATGCTTCACGGTCTTTGTCGTGTATTTAGAATCGAATGCCTTATTCACAGGGTGACGTACGTACTGCTTGCGGTTAGAGAATACTCTATTAATCTTGGAATTGTCGGAAAAAAGGTCATTTTTCCACTAATGCCATGTCCAATCTTGATACTTCCTTGCAAACGCTAGTTGAGCCTCTCTATGATATGGTGTACCTACCAACCTTCCTTGTTTCTCGCCCAAACAACTGAGAATCTACTAGTCGCCTTCAATCGGTACTAGAAGTGAGCGATTAAACGATAATCAACTAAAAAAGTCTGCTTTTAATAAAAGAACAACCGCATGCATATAAATTGATAAACAGCACGCTTTTTGCTTATTCCCGCCTCTTATCTATTTGTCATAAAGCATGCTTTGACAGTCACGTCATCTATGTTTTACCATACAATTACTTTATATAATACATAATACTATATATAAACATGGGAGGCAGAATCGAGAGTTTTAAAAACAAAAGAAGTTTTATTGCTATGTCGAGATGCCGGTATCGGTCGAATTGTTGACATGTGATGTCTCAGTCGCGTGATGAAGTCCTTAAAGACACCTGAAACCGGAGGATGTACAGACGCAGATACTACCATGTCCCCGGGAAGACGCAGTGTTTCGCCATATAGCATTTCCGCTGCCGACGAACTACTGTCCTCCTTATAGGCAGATTGAATTCCTAATAGTACACAAGAGGCAAAACATTAATCCAATCGCCACCGTGGCACATAATCGAGGCTTTCAATTGGCAGTGAAACCGCTCTATCATGCCGTTCGCTTGCAGGTGATATGCAGTAGTTCTAATGCGGTTGGTAGCAAAACTCTGCATCAGTCTGCGGAAGAAATCTGATTCGAATTACGTTCCTTGATCGGTCGTGATGACATATGGAACGCCAAAGCGAGAAACCCATTCGCGAACCAAAGTCTCTGCAACTTCGGCTGTGATGCTTTGCATCGGCCAGGCTTCAGGCCACCTTGAAATCCGATCTATAGCAGTTAAGTAGTATCTAAACCCTTTGCAAGGAGGTAGGGGCCCGATAGTGTCGATGCGCATATGCATAAAGCGACCACTGGGTGTGTCGCAATTGTTAAATGGGGAAGAATTGTGTTTGAAGACTTTGCTGGGTTGACATGCGACATATGTGCGAGCCCACTCTCTGCAATCCTTGTTGAGCGCCGGCAATCAGCTACGAGACGAGCCGTAGTGTGAATACTAGAATGGCTCAAACCGTGCAGCTTGCCAAATATAATACGCCGCCAATCTTTTGGGACATAAGAACAAGGTTTTCCAGTAGATAGATCACAGAATAAAGAGAAACCTGTGCCAGGTACGCAATTTTTTGTAAGACGGAGGCTGGTATTTTCCAAAAGTTGAGGCTGTCCGTGTCTGTCTCTTGAAGCTTGGCGAGTGCGTCATATTCTTGCTCGAGTGAGATTGCGTCGATTCGAGACATGACATCCGCAACAATGTTATCCTCCCCTACAATATATTCTATATCTGTTGTAAACTGACTAATAAAGGACAGTTGGTTGAGCTGCAGCAGAGGAAGCTTCTCATGACGTTGTACTAATACAGCAACGATTTATGGTCTGTAAAAATGGTCACGTGTAAGGCCTCGACGATGTGCCGAAAATGCTGCATACTTTCGTACACAGCCAATAGCTCACAATAGTAAACTGACCACTGACACTGTTGAGGGGTAATTTTTTTACTGAAAAATGCAAGGGGCGGGGGGGAGGCAAACGTCTCAGTCACAACTGTTTCAAAATGTTTATGTCTATCAAGGATGCCCCTGTAAGAGACTTTAAATGACGAAGACATTGGGATGGTTTCCTATCCCCGATTTCTTCATCACTTAGAAGTTGGCGAACCTTTTGTTCTTCGGAGAGTGATAACATTTTTATAAGCTCACCTTTAAAAAAAAAGTTTATTTCGAACCAGAGTCCATATAGTGTTAGTAACAATGGAAGCTGAAAACTATGTTAGTACAATTCAAATTTAAATTATTATACTCTTTATTGCATCATATAGTTAAAACATAATAGTAAAATACATAGTAAGCAAAGGTGGGCTTATCTCTTAAAGAGATCTCTTCCAGCCAACCTAGGTGGTGTCGGAGATTCACAACTTAGCGGGAAAAAGAAAGTGCAATAAAAATTAAACTAAAAATAATTTATTACTACTGTTATAGGAAATGGACTTAATAAATAATAGTTATATATATATATATATATACGATACACATTACATATATAAATACATATACCTACATAAATAAACTTGCATAAATATATATACATAGATAAATACAATACCTATCCAAATATACATAACATACATATAAACCTGATAAATAAATACTAATAAGAAACAAGATACTTCGTGGGAATGATTCATTAAGTTTGAGATTTCTGTTTGAGAAAATGATCTTTAACTTTAGACTTAAACGAGAAGATGGTCGGACATTCCTGAATATTGGACGGAAGTTTATTCCACAGCTGTGCAGCCCTAAAAGAAAAGGAATTCAAATAGGAGATGGTATTACTTTTAGGAAGCTCAAGCGTCTTAGTAATGCAAGGTCGCCTAGAGCGTGAAGGAGGGGGAAGAATCTTAAATCGGGAACGCAGGTATACTGGGGAGTTTGGATCTTTGAGAATCTTGAATAAGAAGACAAGCATATGCAAATCTCGGCGAAGACGAATAGGGAGCCATTGAAGTAGAGAGCGATAAGCTGACACATGATCATACTTCCGCAGACCAAATATAAAATTAAATAATTAATAAATATTAAAATGGTTATAATTAATTTATGTGTCTTTGACGAGATGAAAAGCGAGTCCAGTGCTGCATAATAGCACTGTCCGCGTCCAGTCTCGCCACGACCGCCTTCAAGAGGCTGTTGGCGCTACCCCGCACTTGCTGCAGCAGGGACGCGACGCGTTTCCTAATGATCGCCGATAGGCTATCTACTTCAGCTGCTGCTAGCATTCCGGATGCACTGCAGTGTCGTGGCAGCCCCATCAGCCCCGCCTGAATGCATTGTTATATTGGGTGCGCAGGACACCGTATGATCTTTGGGTATAATTCGTCCACAGGCTGCTCGTGTAAAGTGAGTGACAGTAAGCTTTGAAAAACATTACTTTAACATTTTTGGTGCAACGTACAAATCTGCTGGACGGCATGTTAGCCCTGATGCACAGTGCCCTACGCTCCCTCTCAATATCAAGGTCATCCTTGAGCGACTTGGTGACCCAATGTCCCAGGTACCTGAAGCTTTGTACTTGCTTTAAAGGAGTGCCATTAAGTTTTATCATCGGCACGTTATACGTCTTATTTTTAGCCTTAAAAACCATTAATTCACTTTTAGACCTTGAGTACCTGAGACCATGTGCCTCTACATAATGTTCACAGATGGTTATCAGTTTTTTGAGAGCACTGATCGATGGGCACATGAGCACCATATCGTCGGCGTAGCTTACGTTATTAATTAATGTGCCATCAATAGAACAGCCAACCTCGGCGCCACTGACCCCAATGATCAGCTTACTCCCCCCTGCCTCACTCCGCATTGCAATCCGTATATGCCCGAGTACACCTGCCTATTTTACATAATTACGTTGATTAAAATACCAGTATTTTAATATATTTATGTAATCATTGGGTACATCTGTTCCTTTAAGACGCTTCTCCCAAAGAAAATCGTACTGAACCGAGTCAAAGGCATTGCTCAGATCCAGAAATAGAGCATAAACAGGTGTACTTCTGCTAGTGTACTGGACAGTCTGCTTGAGGCATAGAATGGCAGTTTCGGTAGAAAGGCCTGGTCGAAAGCCAAACTGCGCATTGTGATGCTTAATATGCTTACGTAGCTGCTGGTCAAGCAGCCTGTTAAGCACCTTTGCTAATATCGTAGCCAATGATATACGAGGAGGTCTGTAATTTTACTTCTCACTACTGTTTCCAGTTGTATTCTTAATAATAGGCACGACCATAGTTCTTAACATATTATCCGGTAAATATTCATGACTCATACAAAGGGAATAAAACAAAGCTAGGACACGAGGCAGGTGCGAGCCTACAAAGAGCAAGTGTTCAATACCAAGGTGGTCATGGCCAGGAGATTTGCCTCTAGTGATTTTTCTAAGTACAGATCTAATTTCGCCTGCCGTTATCAGAACTGGTGAAGAAGTAAGGTCACCAGGATAGTATTGTTGAGAATTGTTACTGACAACTGAGCTTTAAGTATTTCATAATGTTTTCCTTTTTCAGGACGATGAATCAAAATATCTTTAATTTCGACTGCATACTTATGGTTAATTTGCCTGACTATGTAAATGTATTTAGTGGAGTCAGCAACCACTAGCAAACCAGTGAACCAAATGTTCACCAAAACCTGATTTAAAAAAAAAAAGAAAAAAATGTACTTAATTAATTGAGAACTTCGGAGATTTTGTGTGGTTTCGTTTGAAATTCGTGATTTCTCGAAAACCGGAAGTGCTACGTTACTCAAATCCGGTTTGTAGTCTTATCAGACTATTCTTAACTTATAACTTAAATATTCTCTTTATCTATCTCTTACGGTTTGGCCGCTGAAACAGCACCACAGACAGACGGACGGACTTGTCTAATAGATAAGAGATTCCAGCAATTTCAAACTGGGCCTCTACCTGAGCAAACCACACCGCTGGTTTGTTAGGCCAATATGGAGGCAATTTTACTGACACCTTATATGTCTCAGCGCTAGTCTGCTGCTGATTTGCATTCACTTGGCTAGAATCTCCTGTACCTGTGCTGTTATCTATAATGTAAATAACACAATGAACAAAATAAATTAAAAAGCCGAATACCACACGATGCAAAACAAATAAATTATATGTTACTCTATACCCTAAAAAAATATAGCCATTAATATTGTATTATTATAAAAACAACTCATATATCGTAAATTTAAAATGAAGTTGTTTCAGTTTCAATAAAATATTCCTATAATAAACAAAACCTTAAGATTGTTAATCAAATGATATAAAATAAAAATAATCAAAGTCAGAAGTTATCTGAACTAAAATAACTTTAGATTTACTTTGAAGTCTCCGTAGACGGTGAATTTTATAATTAATACAAATTAATTACCGAATAACAAAATTATTTTTAACTTTAACGGAATTGGTTATTAAACTAATTTAAAACCAGGTATATAAAGTTAATAAGCGTCAACAGCATGCACAAAGTTAATTTAAAACAAAGTACACGCAAACAACACTAAAGATTTTTCTTCATAGTTTTAATTATTCAACAATGTTACTCATGACATTGATACAGTTAGACACACAGGTTAATGCAATTATTGTTCTAAATAGTAAGACACTGCAAACTCACCATACTTGAAATATTGTCATAGAAATTAGTTTTATGAATTGTTCAATGTATTATTAGATAACAGTTCAAAGTAGAACAATAACATGTTCATGCTCTTGGGAAAGGGTGCAGACCTAAAAAGTTGTATGGGCCGAATACGGTAAGTAAAAATGATTAATAGAAAAATGATTCTTTGATGAGCTCTTCTCGTGCGTATAATGAATGAAGAAAACAGGTGCAACACAGAATACAGCAAACATGCAGGTAGGGAGCCGCAACACCAGGTAAATTATATCTAGTAGATTCCTCCTGCGCCTCGCGGCTGACACGAAACTGTTTGGAGTGAACAATGTTGTGGATCGGCACCAATCCACTAATTTCAGTTCGTTTAATGAAGCGAGGACGATGATAAATAAAAATACTGTCGCGTCGTTGAACTAAATGTGTCTTGCATGTAAAAAATACTTGCAAATAGTACAAACACAGTTTGACAGAACAGCACCAAAGACATTGCGTAGTATTTGGAACAAAAAACTACAGAATAGCTCAATCGAATAATATAGAATAATAAATCACTTTATTGAAAAACATAGACTAATAATTTTAATTTAAATAACAAAATACATCCGCTGCAGGCTTTATTTTATTTAAACATATTCCAAAGCGCTTTCCATACGCAAAACACTAAAAAAGCGTTTAAACGAAAAGCGTTATTCTAAGCATGCTTATAAAAAAAAGCACAACGATTAAACGTTGAATTTTGAGTTGTTTTTCCCATAGCTAAATTATTCTTACCGAAAACTTCATTTTTAATTTCGTTTGAGCCTTTAAACGGGTCCTGCTTAGTTAGGCAAACTATTCTTAAATCCTCTCCTGGAGACGTGTTTCTTGCTTTGGGTTTGCGAGGGACATTCGAGGTTATCTGATGTGTATTAAAATGTTACACAGCTTAGTAGACCATAATTTTTGAGCAATGCAAGTGATCAGCATTATTTATATGACTAATTTCGAGCACTCAAATTAATTATTATATCTTTAGAAGTAGAGTTTATTTTTTCCCATTTTAATAAAAAAAAAGAAATTTCAAAAAATGTATATTCTAACAATATTAGCGCGAAAATGCAATAAAAATAGTAAAGACAAACATCGAATTCCATTTACAAAATCATAAAAAAAGACTTAATATTTTCGTTCTTAATTATTTGTTCAGCCAACTCTAGCTAGATTTTATTTATCTAAAGAAAATCTTCAATAGCAAAATTTAACTGTTCCTCATCCCAAGTAGGAATCGATCCTACACCCTACGCTGATCAAAACGCTACCACAACACTTACCTAATAAAAGTTTATTACTATTTATTCTCATTTTAACTTATTAGATAAAATACTTCAATAAGTGTCGCTGCACACACACGGGCCACACGCCACAGCCACAAACGCCGCCATGAGAAGCTAGAAGCGACTACTAAAGTGGCTGAAGTGCACGACAGCGGCCGACTAAGGTAAGGGAGAGAGGGGTGGGGAATCGCGCGAGTGACGTGTGGCGGCGTTTTGTATCGGCGCATTAAGTGGTCGGTGCGGGCCACAAGAATCGAGCAATGACGATTTGTTTCGTGTGGCGGCCACCGGCGGCGTACCGTGTATGGCGAGTCCATATAAAATGTATGAAAACTACAAGAAATATGCCGGTGGCGGCGTTTTGTGGTTGTGGTCGGTGGACCGTGTGCGGCGACACTAAGGTGGCGAATTATACTACCGCGACCCCTACTTTAAAATTGCTATTTCTTCTTTTTAATCTATTGGGTGTTTTTATTTAGGTGGCGAAATTGGGCGTTATGTTTCCAGTATACTGCACAATCTACATGCTAGCGCCAAACTCAGAGTACGGGAGGTTCATGAAGAAGCCCTTCGTAAAATTCATATGTCACAGTTCCTCATACATGCTGTTTCTAAGTGAGTTTAAAAGCTAATATCTTCAGATATGATTTAATTTGACCAATTCAAATTAAACCAGCATGGTATTTTAGGATCCACTTCATCAAGTGAGGACGGAAAAAAGCTGATGCCAAATAAATTAAGTACACTAATATAATTCTTCAGAATGTTGTGTTTCTGTTCTGGAAAATCGTCATTTTATCCCTTACTTTAGCTTTTAGGAGGAGGATGAATTAAAATATATATATTTATTAATGGCGATGAGGAAGTCAAACATATTCCTTCACATATTTACATATTACCTACTCATTTAAAAAAAAATAAGAAATTTATTTTATCCATATTTTCTTCCTTTTTTTAATCCTTTTTAAAATAAAAATCTAAGTACCTACCTATCCACTAACAATATTATCTTGTTGTGACTACGTTAATATAACTATCTGAATACCTTTCTTTGGTTTGGTTCTTAAAAGCTAAGAGTTAAAATTTGAGCTGCGTGTTGGTAGTAGTCAGTAACGATTGGTTTTTCTATAGGTTTACCTACAGATTATTAAATTTATTTGACGCGAACACAACAGTTTTGAATGTAAAAATATTTTATGTATAATTTTTATTTTAAGCATTAAACTGTTTGATTTCCTGGAAAAAATCATATAAACATTTGAATAAAGTGTTTTTTTATATAAGTTTTTAAGGGTGGCTTTTTTTTGTAAAACATTATCCCGATTTGGTACTACTTACATAACTTTAATTATGCCTTAGAGTGCACCAAAGGACACTTTTCATGAAATATTATCATCAATTGAAAAGAAAGTCAGAATTATTTTTAACTGGTGAACTATTAAGTCACTTATATGGGGCAAATTTCGCGTGAATTAAGTTAAGGTACAGTTTTCTGCCAACTGTTAAAGTCCTCGCTAAAACAACTTTGTTGAAAATATTTCCTAATGTAACGATTTCATGCCTAAGTTGAATTAATTATGATGATGGGAAGATGGAAAATGCCGTTTATGTGCCGTCATATATAGGAAGATGCTTATACTGAGAACTTGTTGTTTAACGCGATAAAATGTAGCCCGTGAGTCTGAATGGAAAAAAATGTTTCCGATACGAACTTCTACCCCCTGTTCACTGCCTTAAAAGATGATTTCTCGGATAAAAAATCCTCATATGTCCTTTCCCGGGACTAAAACTATTTGTATACCAAATTCTAAATCAATCAGAGGTTGAAGATGAAACAGACAGACAAAAACACTTTCTTATTTTTAACATTAAATAAATAAAATAAATAATTCCAACTCTCACATCAATTAGCCTAGCACCAAAGTAAGTACTAAGTAAGGCTTGTGTTATGGGATGCTAGGGTAACGGATACAATACATATACTGTACATAAAAAAGCATATTTATATAGAAATACATATTAAATATCCATGACTGGAATACAAATGGTCGTATTCATCACAGAACCATCTGCCCCCATCGGGATTCGAACCCGGGACCTCTCGAGTCAGCGACACCATGAAACCCGGCGTACAAACCACTCGGCCACGGAGATCGTCAAACACATATAAACATTGGTATTAGTATGGAAGTATATAAGTTGTTACTCAGGAAAAACATGGTGAAGCATTTTTTGAAATCGGTCCATTTTTAACTTTATACGTTACAAACGTACCAATCTTTCCTCAATATAATAATACTAATCTTTTAAACTCAAGATCTAAACGTTCAGACAGCGGGGGCGATTTCTTTTTATACTATTTGAAGATTGTCACATTGTCAGTCATGTTTTCATTCTTCCTAGCAGCTAAAATATGTGAATGGGTAGTAAGAAAGAAAATTGACGATTCAAAAGTACTGTCTAATAAGTCAATTTGGATAAAGTTTATATCATTTAATTCATTTCTATTTCTTTCCTTTAGCGCTTCTATCGCTAGCGTCCCAACGAGCAGAATACCTCTTACTGGAGTGGTCCGGGATCCGCTGGCTTCAAGAGCTGGTGGAACACTGGAAGGTGCATGAGAGAGGCTCGTTACCCGGCCTCATAGAGTTCACCGTCATCGTCTACATAGCAAGTAATTTCAACATTACTAGAAAATACTTTCTATCTAAGTACATACATAAAATATTTAATTTTTATATTTCTCACCCACGCTAATATATGCCTATTTTATAAGAACAGCCATGACTCAGGAAGAACTCGCATTCATCACACAAACCAACCCTAGAACTCCGAGTGGGTGACACCTTACAAACCGGTGCCGGTGTACGTATTCTATCAATCCATTATGGTGGTCGTCAAAACATAATGTACGCTCAAAATTTCGGAAAGACGACATAAAATTCTATAGTTATTTTCTTTCGTTGTATTCTTCATTATGAGGAAAAGACTTCTATGAAAAACATTTCAAAAAACTACTACTACAATACCATAATTTTGTGTGTAATAAGTAATAAAAATGCGTGGTTATTAGAAAAATAGGAAGGAATGAAACTCATTAATCAATATCATGAAATCATACAACTCTTAATATAATCACATTGATATATTTAATTTTATTCAAAAAACTAATTTGTAACTGAGCTCTTAGTAGGAGAGCTACTGAACCCTCCGAGTAACGGTCTGTCTGTAAGACTAGAAACTCTCATGGTGATGAGTCATAGCATACTTAGTACGGTAAGCATCGCCTGGTACTCCTCGGCTCCGCACGTCATCAAGCCGTATATTTTTGAAAGTGTCAAAAAAATATTAAAAAAAAATTGTAGATGTAATCTTGAAATTTTTATCAATTTAGTTTATTCATTTTTAACTTTAAAAAAAATGCCAGGCGTTTACGATGAGCACAAGTACAACTGGAAGGTGTGTAATATATACATAAAAATAAACTTTATTGTGTAAAGTTGAAATTTATATATGTGTTTAAGCGATTTAAAGTTAAAGTAAGTAGGTAGAATACCAGGCGGTTCTGGCTAGCACAAGTCCTTGCCTCATATTCTTAGAAAGTCCTTTCATTTGATACCCATATTGTTGGAAAGTATAAAAAACTTTTCATCCCACCACCTCGGAAAGTGTAATTTTGCGCTTCGAAATCTGGCTGGAAAATTCTATTTTATTCGCTTGAGCGGCAAAGTAGATTTGAATTTAGAACATCACATATAATGAGTACTCAATATAATTGTAAATTCAAAACGTCATTAAACCTATTTAATGTAACCTCTATGGTGCCAAATTTATGATTAGAACTTTTTAAATTGTGAAAAAATTTAAATTTGGAACCTTCTTGGTTTCTTTGTTTTATTTGCGTGCTTCGCGCCATTCTAGTTTTTCACGTTTTATTGCTTAAATATTTTGTCATTATAAATTGTTTTCTTTTTCATTTTGTCATTTCCTCGCTGAGGTGGGATGAAAAGTTACGTATTGCACTCGAGTGGAAAGATTTTTCACCTTGTGCTCGTTTGTTTCCCTCGCTGACGCTCAGGATTCTAATTTAGAATCACTCGCTGCGCTCGTGATTCAACTTTAGAATCCTTCGCTTGCTCGGTCATCCAAATCGAGCACGCGGTTAAAAAGGAACTTTCCACTCTTGTATAATAAATAACTATTGTCTGTCTGTAGTGTCATATTATTTGCATTTAGTTTAACTAGGTAAAGTTTTATTATAATTTTATTTGCAATTTAAAGTAAGTTGGTAGAATGACAGGCGGTTCTGGCTAGCATAAGTCTTTGCCTCGTGAGGGGAAAGATGCTATGGAAGTGCGAGCAAGCGGCTCAACGTGAACTCGGTGGTGCGATTGAGACAGTTTATCTAACTGAAAAATAGGTTCTATACCTGAAAATAACCGTCGGAGGTAACAACGATTTATCTATGTAAAATCTTACTCACAATTTCACTGTTTTATATTGTGAAGTATTATAATGATTTAAAGGACAATGTTAAATTTGGCCTAAGAACCAACACCAATTTGGCATTTATGATAATTCTTAGTATATTTTTTGCAATAATTATTAGTATTTAGATTGTGACGGACACTTCCAGTTAAGTAAACTAAATTAAAAAGTTAAAAAATAATCTGAGACAATAAATACCATTTTATTAAAGCTTAAATTTTACTAATACCATAAGCAAACAAAACACTCTTTCTTCCTAATGCCGGCACTTCACTTGGCTATTCGTATTTGCTATTTTAAAACATGACATCAGTCTGTCCTTTTCATTCCTTATTAAGCATGACAAGGACAATCTGTTGTCTAGTGAAGGGCCGGCATAAAACTTGTTACTCTGTGGTTGTGGTGCATGCAGTTTCATAGTAATCTGTGGCATTCGTGCATTCCAAAGAGCAGTTTAATATACCGGAAAGTGCATTCTTGTTTCGGATTACCTGTTGTGTGTGTTTATTTGCGATTGTTTTTCCTTTAATTTAACTATTTCGGCTATCTAATATGCCATCGATGTTACCAAAGAGCAGAGCCCTTATTACCAAGTGCTAGTGAACCTGTGCCACAATATCCTGAGAGGATTATACTGCCAACTTATTCAAGAACACCTAATACACATTCACGCTGCATATTTACACAATAAACATGTGATATACAAATAAATACAATAAACAATATGATACAATTATGTGAAAAATAGTCAATAAATAAGAAGCAAAACTACAGTTTTTATTTTATTCATGATTCCTACCTAACCAAGTTTTTCTTAATAGTTACTCTTTAAAATCGCACCGAATAAAATGAATTAGTTGTAATATTAATTCACTTCATACTCAGTTCATACTAAATCCATAGGTTGACCTATGTTTCATTGAATATTAAACATAACCTCAAAAAAAATTAGTTTTCCTAATAATTTATGTTCTCAGAAGTGTCCGTCAAAAATCTTTGTTTTTACAGTCATTTACTTACGATTTTGAACCTAGAAAATAATATTTCATGATTGTTGGTTCTTAGGCTAACTATGTATGGACGCTGAACAATGTCCTTTCAATTAAATATTAATATTAATTGTGCAGTTATTCTTGTGTACGTCAGTTGTGCCAACGGTTATTCATATTTAAGTAAATAGTGAGTAAAATGGAATCTGTAAACGTTGTTTGTGTGATTTGCAAACAAGATATTGATGGCAAAACTGTAAAATTTACAACAAGTACTTTAGACAAAAGCAAATCAATATTAAAAATTAGAAAACAACATAATTTAAAATTTAATGACATTTCTTTGTCAGAGGAAGTTCTTGATAATACAGGTTATCATGTGAAGTGTTACAAAAACTTTCTTGCTGTAATGAAAAAATATTGCCAGATCAAAACATCGACTTCATCGAATGTACCACCATCGTCGGCAGGTATATTTTTATGAACTTGCATATTCTTTATTAGGTTTCATCTAAATATCGAGCTGCATTTTTTCAAATCGGTTACTTCACAGAAACATGCACACTACTAAATATATATTAATTAACGGTAATTGATTTCAAATTATGAGCAGTTTTAAGTTATGTAAGTTTTCATACTACGACTCTTACTCGCACTGCCGCAGTATCTTTCTCCTCGCCTGGCAAGGACTTGTGCTAGCCAGAACCGCCTGGCATTCTACCTACTTACTTTAAATCGCTTAAACAAACACATATATAAATTTCAACTTTACAGAATAAAGTTTATTTTTATGTATATATTACACACCTTCCGGTTCGCCTGGCAGGTACTTGTGCTCATCGTAAACACCTGTCAATTTTTGTTTTAAACTTAGAAATGAATAAACTAAATTGTATAAAAATTTCAAGCTTACAGTTTTTTTTTAATATTTTTTTGACACTTTCAAAAATATATGGCTTGATGACGTGCAGGGCTGAGGAATGCCAGGCGTTGCTTACCGTACTAAGCAAGCTATGACTCATCACTATAAGAATTTCTAGCCTTAGCTTACAGGCAGACCGTTACTCGGAGGGTTCAGTAGCTCTTGGTCTATCTACACTCTTTCTCCGAAATGAAATTTCGGCAACGAACGAATTTTAACGAAATTTGGCCAGTGACTCTACTCTATTTCATCTTCGAACACGCACATAAAGTTCGGAATCACAGACAATTATCGTGAACGAATGGAATGAGTTATGTTTGTGAGTTCTTTTTCAAAACAATATTACTTTATGACAACATTTTTGATTACATTAAAACAACCTCTTTTGACAGTGTTAGCCGACTAATTTGTAGAGTTGATGCAATCGAATCTATGTCAACCTAAATTTGTCGTGTAATACTTTGAAGTATTCGCAATACAATAATAAACAAAAATTAGATTTATTTGTAAATTTTTCATACTAAAAAATGTTCCTCACGCTAAGCAGCCTTAATTAAAAATACTTTAGTATTAATTTTAGGTTTAATTTAAACAAAAATCCCAAAACGAAAATGAAAAGGTATCACTTTTCATTTCGTCAATTCGAGGTTTAAATTTCGAACAATTATCTGTCAAATTCAACTTTTACTTCAAAAGTTTTGTGAATTAGAGCTACTCTCTAGTTATTTTCTTACCTACGCTTAGAGAATTTAAATGTCAAACTATTTTCGGGCGAACGAATTTTCGAAATGAAATAGAAACAGAGTAAGGAACAGGAAAATTTATTTTTTCGTTGAAATAGATTAGGGCCGATTTTAGGCACAACATTTTTATTTCTTTTTATTTTGATTATGTTCATTATGATGTCAAAAATTGTTTCTTTTTTCTCTCATGTTTATTAGACACTATGTGAGATAAATAATAGTGGAAATTACCTAAGCAATTAAACTTAATGTTATATTTTTTGTGTGAAAATTAATGCTGTTATTTCCCTAAAAATAAATAAATAGATTCATCTGTATTTCAAGCTATCAGGGTGTCCTTATAACCTTTAGGATATACGTGGAAAGAATTTAAAATCCGACATTGTTATTGTACACTCGCAGTATTCAAAATGTGAAAAGTAACCATTTCTAAGCTTCTATTACTATCAATGTTCAGCAAAAAGTAGAACCAAACCGGCGAAGTGGGAGTAAGACTCGTACAGGAGAGCCTTCGTATTATATAACTACTAGCGGCCCGCCCTCGCTTTGCGTCGGTGTAGAGCTGAAGTGTAGACTACAGTTTTTGTTCTCAAGCTTGTATTATAAACAATGACATTCATCTATGATTCTTTTTATACCTGCATGCAAAGTCTCAGCCCGATCGGTTTAAAATTGACAAAGATTCATACAAACTTTCATTCCCTATTTTATCCCCTTGTGTGTAGAATTGATCAAAATCCTTTCTTAGCGTCATAACATCTATCTGCATGCCAAATTTCAGCCCAATCCTTCCAGTGGTTTGGGCTGTGGGTTGATAGATCACTATGTCAGTCAGTCAGTCACCTTTGAGTTTTATATATATATATATATATAGACAGATATAGATTGAAGTACAGCGATTGTAAAAGTCGAGCAAACGATACCGAAAAAATCATGATTGTTGCATGGCAACATCATATTTGTTTTACTTTGATACTAGCGGCCGACGGCGACTTCGTACGCGTTGAGTTAGTTTTTTTATAATATTACTTTTTAATAATATTCGTGCCAAATTAAGTAAATCCTTGCAGTACTTTTTGAGTTTATCCCGGACATACATACAGACAAACAGACAAAAATTCTAAAAACTATATTTTTGGCTTCGGTATCGGTTTTAGATCACACCCCAAGTATTCTTTTAAAAAAATATTCAATGTACAGTTTTGACTTTCCTACCATGTTATTATATGTATAGATTAGGTATATACAAGAGTGATTGAATGCATTGTCCTTTTTTTATAAAAGAATTAGAATTATTTGTAAATTTTTCATACTAAAAAATGTTCCTCACGCTAAGCAGCCTTAATTAAAAATACTTTAGTATTAATTTTAGGTTTAATTTAAACAAAAATCCCAAAACGAAAATGAAAAGGTATCACTTTTCATTTCGTCAATTCGAGGTTTAAATTTCGAACAATTATCTGTCAAATTCAACTTTTACTTCAAAAGTTTTGTGAATTAGAGCTACTCTCTAGTTATTTTCTTGCCTACGCTTAGAGAATTTAAATGTCAAACTATTTTCGGGCGAACGAATTTTCGAAATGAAATAGAAACAGAGTAAGGAACAGGAAAATTTATTTTTTCGTTGAAATAGATTAGGGCCGATTTTAGGCACAACATTTTTATTTCTTTTTATTTTGATTATGTTCATTATGATGTCAAAAATTGTTTCTTTTTTCTCTCATGTTTATTAGACACTATGTGAGATAAATAATAGTGGAAATACATCTATACCAGTTAAAAAAATATAGCAACTCCCTGATTGACGGATTAACAGACGAATGGATCCGGATGCTTATAGTAAAAGGATTCCACTATCACCCCTTAGGCAGGGAACTGTAAAAATCTACGAGTATAAGAACTAACTTTTGGATGGACTGTATAATCTCCAAACTATTTTACAAAAATATACACTTCTTACCTTACGTTATATTGTGTCGCCTCTTCATATTTAATAGTCCACAACATACCTATCGTTTGTCCCGTAAGTCAAATAATTAATTTGTTTACGCACATCCACAGAAGGACATCCATTTGTTATGACTCAATCTGTTATATGCTCGATTTCATTATTTATTGGGAACAACCTCTCGGAAGGCGGCTGAAATCCATTTTTCTTCTTTATTAATGTTGGTTTTGGAGACAAAAACATGCTTTTACTTTTCTCAAGCGAAACTATTATAGATTGAAATCACAGATTTATTCTAGGTCATTTCTGACACATCACAATTTTATAAATTAACATAGTTAACTTGTATATTTGTTTCGTTTTTACGCACACCACTCATTAAATGAAACACGCTTAAACCGATTCAAAATGCGTCTTTGTATTACTTTTTTGAAGCGTGTTTCATTGAACATACGAGTAGTTGTAGTTTACCTTAATTTACCAAAAACTTGGAACCTGCAGTGGACACATTTCAAGATCCTTAATATTTTAAGTCAACATCACTAAGTTAAATAAAGATTAGTCTAGCATTCTTAGAAATTTGGTAAGTAATTTAATACTTAATAAGCTAATTAAGAGCCAAAGTGAACCGTCAGCATTATGAAAATAATCTTGTATCTACGTTAAAGTGTAGCTGTAGTCTTGTTACATGATCAGTAAAAACGTATTTTTAAAAACCTGTTTTCTAATTAGATAAGTCGTTAATTAAAACGGTTTTTATTGATCTGACGCCGTAGACGTAGACCGTAGATATTGGTGGACAAGAGCCTTATTTTCCGAATGAAATCGGAGCTTTTAAAATTGAACATCACAAGCTTGTTAACTCCGTATAAAAATTGTTTAAAGTTACAAGTGATTACGTCATTGGTTTTTTTTAACTTAAAAGTAAACTTCATCGTTAAAATACGAATAAAAATAATGGTACATTTTTAAGCCCCCTAGTCCCTGATGTTAAATTTTTGAGAATGTGTTTTGAAACTTGTAGTGTGTTTGTCCGATTTGCATTTGACCGCTTTTTTATTGTTACCATTTAAATATTTAACTGTTACAATTTTATATTTGAAGCAATTTATTTCTAGAATATAAAGGGTACAACAAGTATCTAAGTTATTGCTGTAGCCCCGCCTACTCCGAATATTTATGAGGCAGAAGGGCCATCCATAATTAACCGAGATGCGGATAAAAGAAACAGAATTATATAAAAAATTCGGTTCCTTGTCATTCAAGACTTCTAATAATAGGGGCAAATAAATTGCGATTCCCTCCGTAGACACGACACTTCAGAATCCGTAGGTACTATAAACTATTTCAAATAATTATAAAAGTAAGAGCAATAGGAGAGAACCCGCTTTTTCTTTGCATCTAAATACAGCCTCGTGCCCATAAGTGGGACCATTAAAACACAGTTTGTATTAGATTTATGTAATACTTTGATGAAGTGAAGAAGTGAATATTAAATATTTTCCGATATTTCATGATCAAGGGATTATAAATACCTTATATCTAACTACACCCTCATGCTTTAAAACCTCTATTAAAGATTCTGAAACAGTTAGCTTATTGCCAACATTATAACACCCAATGTCATTATAATAAAAAATCACTATAACACCCCTTTGGGTATTTTAATAGTAGTGGTTGATTGTACTATGATAACAATCCTTCGCTTTTAAAATCCTTTCCGCGCCAAGGGCTTACTCATCAGACAGCCACAGTTTTTACTAGTGATGCGTGGTATTATGAATTTCAATAAAAGAACACTGTCATTCGCTACCACAGAGCCGAAACTTTTCATGAATTTTAAGTTCTTAGAACGCCCTCCATGGTTTCAGAATCTTTTATAGAGGATTCATATCATGGGTGTAGGTAAAGCCTTGTATGCACCTGTATTAAGTTTTTAAACACTCATGTGTATATATCTCATTATTGTTAATCCAAATTTCAACACAGGTCTTATATGGGCTGAGATCCGCGCTTTATGGACGGGTGGCATCATGGAGTACATCAGCGACCTCTGGAATATCGTGGACTTTATCACCAACATGTTCTACATCGCCTGGATTAGTCTGAGGGTTTCCGCTTGGTACATCGTCCAGGTAAACTTTTTGAACTTCTCATTTCTTTCTTCATTCTCATCTCAACCTGATGTCGTTAATTATTAGTTTTTTTTTTATTAATTTGATACTATTTTAGAACTTTGAGGTAAAACATCTTAATTAACTACAGTACCTAAGTACGCAAAAAGGCCTTATAATTAGAAATTGTAGAGCCCAAATTAGGACATTTGTCTAATGTTTTCTCAGTGTGAAATAATTTACTAAGCGTAGCCTTCAATTATTGCGTTACTACACAATAGTTTATCACTGCAACAGGTTTAATTTTTACTTTCTTTTAGCGTGACTATCGGAACGGCATGGATCCCTGGTATCCTCGTGAGCGCTGGGATTCGTACGATCCAATGTTACTTTCCGAAGGTATAATGCTTTGTTAATTCTATATTAATCGAATGAATCGATCACCATTCCGTTCGTGTAACAAATTTAATGACTACTATGGTTCAATAAAACAGACATATAAATTTTTGGAAATCCAAGTTTTGACAAATATACTATATTTTAACTTGTCTTGATAATAGGTGCATTTGCTGCGGGAATGATCTTCTCATTCCTCAAGTTGGTGCACATTTTCTCCATCAACCCTTACCTGGGACCGCTGCAAGTCTCCCTCGGGCGCATGATACTCGACATTATCAAGTTCTTTTTTGTATATATGCTGGTTCTCTTTGCCTTTGGCTGTGGTGAGTCTTGTGAATTGTTTATATTCAACACCATTATATATACCAACATTTTTAGTGAAATATTCATCAGATTTGTTAAGATAAAAGTTAATATTTATGAACTATGAAAAATTGGAATGTATATGTTTTAGTAAGACTAATATGTACATTAGTCATATTAGTCTTACTAAAACTCAGAAGCCTGCTCAGTAAAAACAGAAACTAAATTGTGTTATTATTTTTAATAATAACTGAACTAATTTCTAGGCTTGAATCAACTGATGTGGTATTATGCTGAGTTGGAGAAGAATAAGTGCTACCACCATCCTAATGGAATAGCAGATTTTGATACTCAGGAACGAGCATGTACAATCTGGCGACGCTATGCAAAGTGAGAATATTGTGACTTTTATCTTTCAAATTGTAAACTTTAAACTTTCAATCTTAGCGTTAATAATGTGATAACTGAAAGTATTGAAATTCTGAGAGTATGAATTATTTTACACAAATGATCAACCCCTGAACTAGACAATATTGTCCGAACTGCGTATGGTTTTATTTTTATTGTTGTAACCTTTTGCATTATTGACCTTTGATTAAGCGTTTTTACTAAAACTACTATTTCTTACACAACAGCCTCTTCGAAACTTCACAGTCATTATTTTGGGCTTCATTCGGTCTGGTGGATCTGACGACCTTTGAATTGACCGGTATCAAGAGCTTCACCAGATTCTGGGCTCTCCTCACCTTTGGATCGTACTCCGTGATAAACATCATTGTTCTACTGAACATGTTGATCGCCATGATGTCCAACTCCTACCAGATCATCTCGGTAAGTGCAATGTATTCCTTTGATAAGTTTAAAAATATGATGTGCAAATTCTAATGTACCCTCTCTTTTTGCCATTCATTGTATAACCTAACATCAGCAATCGGGTTTTTTTTTGCTAAATAGTACACAAAATCATGGACAGGGTAGACGGTTGATTACCTGAAATACGAGATCCATCCTTGTTCAGGTATCAACCCACCATAATCTTATACCTGTATTTTAGTCCAAAATTATTAATACATTGTAAACATTAGGATCATGGTAAGAAATAAACGATATTATTATTATTATCTCTAGGAACGATCCGACATGGAATGGAAGTTTGCTCGCAGCAATCTCTGGATGTCTTACTTTGAGGACGGGGATACAGTCCCTCCACCCTTCAACATCATCCCTACGCCCAAACACCTCGTCTGTTGGATTAAGCATTGCTTCACTAACCGTGACCGAGGATCTATAATCGTAAGATTAGAGAATTTTACGAATTACGAAATCAACTTTGCAGAAAAAATCACGTATTTGTTGCTGTAAGCAATTTTGCTTTTGTTTCCATAAAAAACATAGTACAGGTAAAATTAGAGTAAAATCTTCAAAGTTTCTATGTGAATATAAAATCGAATGTGGTAGTTAACACATTGAATGTCAACTACGCAATATTGCGTAGGTACTAGTGACGTTGGAGGCCAGCTACGTAATACAACGTAGCACTTTGTTACTATTTATGTGGGTGTTCGTTTTATTAGGCCTCCTGGAAAGGGAGTTTTTAGGGTCGTTGGCATCGCAAATAAGACATAATGACATGAAAAAAGTAACTTCATTATTTGAAAACTTTTCAAATCACAAGATGTCTTAGGCACTTAAGAGGTAAAAAAGTACAGATTTATAATGAGATCAAAAATTAGATTTACAACTAATGAGATCGATAATTATATATATATATAAAACAGGAACTTGAAGTGGCAGGAACGTGATCTAGGTGGAAAAGGGACAGAAGATGAAATAGTCTTCTACGTAATACTACGTATTCGGCATCCCGTTTATTCCCCATTATTGCGCAGTAGGCACCACACATGCCATTTTTAAACGGAGTGCCGAATACGTAGTATAACGTAGAAGACCATTTGTATGATGGAAACCAATGATGACCTGATCATTTATTTGGCATTCAATGTGTTAAGTTAAAATCTTTTTGTGCTAATTTAAATTTTGGATAATGAATCTCTAACTACTATTTGATTGTTTTTAACTTTACAACCTTTTATGAGCATCAATAATAAAAATCCAGCACAAGTCTCGAGAGAAGGCACGTCATCAACACGAGGCGGTGATGAGAGTTCTGGTTCGTCGTTACGTCACCGCCGAGCAACGAGCTCGCGACGAGGTCGGCGTCACTGAAGATGACGTCATGGAGATCAGGCAGGACATATCGACGCTGAGATTCGAACTCATAGATATATTACACAATAATGGGATGAAGACCCCGAGGCTGAAACTACAGGATAGCACTAGTAAGCTAATAATTATCAATTCTTTAGAACCAATCATTCTACTGACATTATGGTTACGTGATGTGATGTTACGTCACCGAAGATGATGTAATGGAAATCAGGCAGGACATATCCGCACTGAGATTCGAACTGATAGACATATTACACAATAATTGATTTGACGACCTCCGTGGCCGAGTGGTTTGTACGCCGGGTTTCATGGTGTCGCCGACTCGAGAGGTCCCGGGTTCGAATCCTGGTGGGGGCAGATGTTTATGTGGTAAACACAAGCATTTGTACTCCAGTCATTTAATATGTATATCTACATAAATATACTTGTATATGTACCGTATATGAATTCCATCCGTTATCCTAGTATCCCATAACACAACCCTCACAGTGCTTACTTTGGGGCTAGGCTAATTGGTGTGAGTGTGGTAATATTTATTTATTTATTTAATGACATGAAGACCCCGAGGCTGAAACTGCAAGATACTATGGTAAGCGAGAGATGATTAATTTGGTAACCTTCTATTTAACAGACACATAAATAATTTCAAGGCATTTTTCTTGAAATTACAAACTTTGAGAGAGAATATTAAGATGTTCTGTGATTTCTAATTAACTAAAACAGGTTAGGAAATATAGATACATCAATGCAGATAAAGACATTATCAAAACAGATACAGCTAAGATACAATATACAGTTAAAACACATAAATTGTTGTTTTTTTATACCTAGGCTCAACAATATTTTACTTGTAATTTTTGCATATACTTTAGGTTTTTGAAATTAAATCGACGTTATTAATTATTTTTTTAAATAATCTTATCATAGTTGCGGGGAAGAAAGGCAAAGTTATGGAACGGCGAATCCTCAAGGACTTCCAGATCGGCATCGTCGAGGGTATCATCAAAGACGTTATCTCCAAAGAGGTCAAGCCCAAGGACGTCTTCAGTCAAATCGCCAAAGCCATAGTCAGGAGAGGCAGCACGGATAGGACGGAGAGGTTTGAAATCTTTATATATATATAATTCTTCTGTGAGTATGTATGTCACTGAACTTCTCTTAAACGACTGGACCGATTTTGATGAAATTTTTTGTGTGTGTTCAAGGGGTTCTGAGAATAGTTTAGATTCACAATTTTGTCCGCTGGACAAACCCTATTTTTTTAGGGTGGTACGAAGTTCGCTGGGTCAGCTAGTATTAATTTATTTCTTAAGTTTGATTTAGTAATTAGTTACAATAAAGTTTATAAAATGAATAACATGTGTACATGTATATACTAATAGATGTCTTCACCGTTTCCTATAACACCATTATAAACATCAAAATTGAAAGTATGTATTATAAAATCTTTAGAAGACTACTACAAAAGACTGTGATATATGGTAAAGGAAACACTATCTGTCCACCTCTCATAGCTATTTACAATCTTTTTCCTATTATCCTGATACAAATTTTTCGTTTTCTACCGACTGAAATAAAAAAGCCAATTTCAAAACATACTTGCAACCACTATTATTTTTGTATGCAGCAAGAAACGCGACTGGAACGCCCTGGTGCGCACTAACACCGTCCGTCGCGATCCAATAGGCAGGTCTTCAGAAGCGGAGATCAGGCGCAGCAGGCAGTCCTTACGAGCACATATACTGGACAATGTTCACGCTAGGACTATAGACCCGCAGAAACTTCTTGGTAAGTATAACGTAACACTCATATTTTTAATTCTACCAAATTAAAAAAGGAAAAGGTTTTCTAATCGTTACTGTGTAGGAGATCAGGCGCAGTCTTCAACTCTAATTTCTGGGAAATGCGCCCGTAAAGACTGCAATTATAACAATCAAAAATAAACATATGAAACAATCTCTATCATCCAATTATTTTGCTATTAGTGTTGTTCTTTTGGGAAGCGCATCCTCTCTTCTAATAACCAATTGCGTGCCCGACGGGATCCATAATGCTCATATTTATATAAGTACCTACCACCCACTGTTCACATTATGGTTGCAATAAATTATTTCAGTTTGAATGTGCACACCAGAACTGTAGACCAGCAGAAACTTCTTGGTAACTATTAAGCACCTCTGTTATTTATTCAACTGTTTTTAAAAAGGAGCTGGTTATCGATTTGTCAATATAGGAGATCAGGCGCAGCAGGCAGTCTTTACGAGCGCACATTCTGGATAATGTGCATACCAGGTTAAAGTTCCGCAGAAACTGCTTGGTAATTGATAAACTATTAATTATGTTTATCATACTAAGATCAGCGTGAATGACTCTATTCCACCTGATATTAGATAGGGAAGTGAAGTCCAGGTACAATTACCTGCCGCACCAGCTAAATACCCTTGATGGCCTACATTGTGTTGCTTCTAGCAATTTTTAGAAGTTTTAGGAAGGACAAAGGACGTGCAGGGTATAAAACCCATTTACTAATAGTGACACAAATAAAAAGAAAAAGATACAATATTTTAGCATTTACAAAACCTTTAAGTATAAAAAATAATGTAATTGAGTCATGGAGGATGAAGGACAAATGACCGCAGATACTTTGCAATGATGAACAATGGTCAGTACGACGAACATAAAAAATATTTTTGGGTTATCCACCAAGAAAGTTAGAAAGTGTAGTTTAATTTAATGTCCAACACTTTCAGAAACAGCCCTTGGAAGAAAATTTTTCAAGTTAAATTAACGTTCTATCCATATATTGTCTGCAATAAATATTAACTGGCACTGTGTTTACAGAATACAACCCCAAGCTTTCCGAAGTGACTCCCACCACTCGGGTGGCGTACGCCAAGTTCATGCGCAGCAAGATCACGTCAGAATTCAAGGAGAAAGAGAAAGAGAAGGAGACGGCTGCTGGCGAAGAGTTCAGCCTCGTGGATGAAGTGTTCGAGACACCAAAGAGGCAAGACGCGAAAAGGACTAGCAGTAAGTTTGTCGAATTCATGCGTTAAATTACCGTAGATACCTTTGAGTCACAAAAAATATAAGTAGCAGAACAAATAATCCCCTTTCTATCAGGAAGATTTTGGCCCGTATTAAAGAAAGATTCTCAGTGATTGATCTAGTCTTGAGCATAGTTAGAAAGGGATGTCGCTAAATATAGCACATAGCGATATCCCTTTCTAACTGTACTCAAGTAAAGATCAACACTTAGTTGTCATTCTGTAATACAAAATAATGTTGCTAAATAGCCCCTATTTGGATAAAATAACAGTAAACATTTAAAACGGAGTACTCCTGCATGTTTTACGAAACCAGGTTGGCCCATTTATTTGTGTGATGATAAGTTCCAAGTCATGGTTGATAAGTCTTCTTTAAGTTTTTTTTGTTTCCATAGCAATAGTTTTTATCTATTTTCTATGTAAGTTTGGGACTGTATAATTGTTGTGAGTTATTTAGAATTTATAAAACATCACATCGGAAATATTTTAATTTTATCCAAAGATTTATAGGATTCGCTTTCCGCTTGTTTTTTTTTTGTATTTTGTACTCTAGTCATAGATAATAAATAACCATATATAGTTTTCGTTTCAATAATAAATATGTGTAGAAGCGGTTATGTTCAAAATAGAACTATGAAATATTATCCTACAATATCAATGTTTCAATACCCGACATACGGAAATCCGAACTATCGTTCAGTCAATTTTGATCGGGGCGTATGTTACTTATTATGGTTTTGCCGATATCGTAGGCGTCGTGAGGTCGATAATCCGCAGGTTTCGTTGCCATAAACGATAATGAAGGTACTTTGTTAAATATCCTAATTAATTGGAATAAAATAATATAGAATACTAGCTTTCCCAGCGAACTTCGTACCGCCATAAAAAATACGGGTTGGTGGTAGAAGCGTGATGATACGATTTAGGGTTGTATGTATTTTTGTATGATGTATGATAACAAAATAAAAACAAAAATTTTGTCCAAAAAAATAACTTTAAGGGTGGACCACCCTTAAAATTTAGGGGGATGAAAAATAGATGTTGTCCGATTCTCAGACCTACTGAATATGCATATAAAATTCCACGAAAATCGATCGAGCCGTTTCGGAGTAGTTCAATTACGCACATCTAGACACGAGAAATTTATTTATTAGATAATTATATACAGTTACATAGGTGATTTCGATGGTGCAGAGGTTAGCTCGCTCGATCTAATGAAAATAAGCAAATTCCGATTTGCCCGGTCATATGATAGGTGACCAAAAATACTATATCTCGAGATTCTCTCTACTTCGGAAGGCACGTTAAGCCATCGATCCCGGTTGCTTCTGCAGTCCTTAACACCCACTAATCAACACTGAAAGGCGGTCATTTTTCTTACTGCATTCATATAGAAGAGAAGATCGTTACCCTAGCAGGAGAGACGTTACAACCGAGTCAGTTGCAATTGCATCACGATTCACAGTTTAGGAGCTGACGAACAAAACGGTATAATTAAATAAAAAATTTCAGAAGCTGTATAAAACTGAATGACATACCTCCAGTGAGCTTTTGACTTGGTTTTTAACATATAAAAGTAATTTTAATACTTTTTAGGTGATTTTGCTTGAAAATTATATGAGATTCCAATTCAACGGGCCCGAAACCTCCGGACTGTAAAAAAAAAGAAGTTTGACCAGATGCGTAATTATACCGTTTTGTTCGCCAGCTCCTCAGTTATGATCGCGATGACTCTGATGACGATGATTGCAAAGACCTTCAACAGTTTCTATCGTTGTCTTGTCCTTCGATATGGTTTCACTATCTGCGCAAAAAGTTTAGAGCTCATGCATTGCAATTTGTCTTATGGAGATTTTAAAAAACTTCAGTTTAGGCGCCTTTCTGACCAGATCGGCGCGAGCTCGTTTCGTTTTCGTTTCTATGCCGAATCTGTAGACATTCTTTACCGAGTGCATGTAATTAAAATAAGAGCTTCCTCGCTGAGTCGTTCTGTCACATTATTTATACATTATTCTTTACCGAGCGTACACACATCTCTCTGTACTGTACCCTTAGCATAAACCAATATCGAATTCGAACAGTTTGCAAGTGCGAAACGTCATTGTCAAATTATGTATGGAAACTTAAACAGCAGCATCATAACTGACGTAACCGACGTAACGAGAACTAAAAATCAAATACACATTTGACAATAACATTTCGGACTCGCAAACTAATCGAATTCGATAATAGTTCGTGCTAAGCGTACTAAGTGCTACCGAGTACAACCGAACCTGTTTAATTGGCCGTCACGTCACTCGTACACAAAATAAAAAAACCTTAGCAAATTTAACGAAACGATACCGCACCGAAACCAACCCAGTCAAGAAGTGATTTTCAGTATATAACCTGTACAGATTCGGTACAGAAACGCAAACCAAACGATCCGTCATATGACATTTATTTAAATTATTACCTATTAATTATATATCAATTGAAGTTTTAGTATTTAATCATGCTCGTGCATACCTATGTTACCTATATATGATAGTATTATTTTGCTGAAAATATAACTGAAATGGCATGCCCACTGCGTTATGAAATTCAATGATTGTTTTGCTTATTTCAAGTCCCACATGAACAAAGCGTGTTGACAATAATGACAGATAATAATCAAGTTCTATTGTTTATCGATAGAGTGGATACTAAACGTTAGATGAAATCAAACATGGTATCTAATGCCATTCTAGTGAAGTCCAAATTTCATTTTTAGGGTTTCGTACCCCAAAAGAAAAACGGAACCCTTATAGGATCACTTTGTTGTCCGTCTGTCCGTCCGTCTGTCAAGACCGTTTTTCCCAGGAACGCGTAGAGGTATCAAACTGAAATTCATATCTAGTACTCAAGTCTACTGTCCCTTGGAGCTGTGAAAAAATAAAACTTCTAAGCCAAAGCAATCAATAGATACAGCCATTTATGCCGCAAATTTCCGCAAATTTTCGAAACTCGCACGGGAATTAAAACCTAAAGGGTACTTCCGGCTAACTTAGAATGTTGAAATTTGGTACGAAGTAACGTCTTATAGTACAGATAAAGGAAAAATTGCGAAAACCATAAATTTTTTAGTTACATCATATTATAAAAAATATTTTTGAAAATTCAGATTTGTACGGAACCCTCGGTGCGCGAGTCCGACTCGTACTTGGCAGGTTTTTTCACATTCATAAAGTTCCATTTTAAAAATATCTATTTAATTTATATGTTCCTGGCTGAGATTTATTTAGCCTTTTGTTAAAAATATAAAATTAATTATTATTCATACGCACATGACGCCGAACTGACATGACATAGCGAATTTGGATTTTGCATTTTCAATAAATTATTAGAGTAAAAATTTAGAAGGAATGCAACTCTCTACTTAAAAGACAGAGACTTTGGCAAGACTCTAAGCAGACTTTTCGTCTACGTCGTTTCATATCGTACTACATAATTCTTAATTTGAAACTCTTGATTGCCAAGAACTACATTTCCAAATTAAATGAAGACTACAGAAAACGGAGACTAATGGCTCATTAATGTAAAATACCAAGCTCTATCCGGCTTGTTGTATTTTTCGCCACGGATAATGGAAATGGGAGTTCGGGAGTGGCAACACTTTGTTGTCCTTTTTCAGAGCATCGTGATTTAGTGTTGAGAACTTCTACATACAGGCAATATTCGTTTGTGAATAATATCAGTGCCTTTATTTTGAGTCGTTAATTACAAGTAAATTTTTGCTTTCTACATGACGTCTTTGATTATATAAAGTCTAGATAAGATACAAAAATAGCTTGTTAACACATATTAATGTTTACTACAGCCTTTGGTAATATCAGTATAAAATAGTTTGGAGTCATTAGCACCCAGGAATTCGCACTGATCTTGCGTGGAGGGTCATGCTCCATTTTCCCCGTTTTATTGAAGGCCTGTGCCCCAGCAGTGGGGACATTCATTGACTGCGGATAAATACCACGCGTTTGTCAATTAGGAATACATTTACTTAACCAATTTTAGATTAGAACCCGGGACGATAACAATATTTTACTAAAAAGACAGTTAGTCTTTTAATAATCCGCATTAAGACCACGTGATGGGCTACACATAACTCATTATACCCATGTGATGCTGCCCTTGGGTAAGGCCTGTGCCACAAGAAAAGGACGTTAATAGGCTGACAATGAAGTGACTGCTGAAAGTTTTCCTGATAATAATAACGTGCTAGTTTTCCATTATTTTTTCATACCTATACGCAAAACTTTCTCTACAGGGAATCCGAAATTGTAATACATAGAAATCAGCTATAATCAATTATGATTGTTTACTGTCACAAATAATATGTATTTTTATAACTCTAGCCCCGTTATTATTAAACGAGGAACAAGTTTAGACTAGTTACACCGTGTTTTGGTTCTAATACTCAAAAAATCCTTCCTTTCTGCAGGTAAAACGTTCAGAAGCAGGACTCCAATTCCTGAAACTTCCGATGACGAAGGCCTTAAAGATCACGAAATAACTGTGAAAGCTGACATCGAAGATAAAGGTGAGGACTCTCAGTTCATTTCTATTTTTTACGTTGTATACAAAAAATACATGTATACTTTTCCTTGTAGGCTCAGAAGGGGGTTCTGAGCAAACGAGACCATTGAAATCCTCATCTCAAGAACCATCCGAACCAAGCACACCAGCGTTCGACCCAATTAGTGACAGGCGTTTCACACCTCCAGTCCAATTCGACACTAAGGACCATGTCATACAAATAGACGAATTAGAATCTCCAACCAGCGCTCTTTGTATGACCAAAGAAGAAGACACGAGACTACAAAAACCTATTACGCCTACACCGAGCGTACATTCCGAGCAAATTTTATCAGCTTCATCTTTAGACTCACAATATAGGCAAATGATGAGTCCGCCACCATCTGTAGTAGTTCCGTGTCCGGCAGGTACTAAACTTCCTTCAGTTCTTACACCTTCTCCTTCACGTTCAACTATTGAATCTCCTTCTACTGTTACAAAGCCTCTTACGATTACCAAATCTCCACCTCCTGTGATAATGACCCCACCACCGCCAGAAAGTCCAGCGCCTCCTATTCCTTTACCACCAGACATAGCGTCTAGACCCGAATCTAGATCGGCCAGAACTGAAATTAGTACACCTAGGCCTGAAGCTTCTAGCCCTAGACCAGAAACCTTAAGTTCTAAACCAGAACGACCTAAATCTTCATTGAGTACTCAAAGAGTTTCACCATCACCGTCACCATTTCCCTCGCCATCCCGTAGCCCTATAACTGACAAAGGTAAATCTAAGGTGACAGGTAAAATGGTATCTGGTTGGCTTTAAATTTTAGGTAAGAATAAAATGTTTACAGAATTGGTTAGCATCATGCATACCAACATATTAAAATTCGAGTTTCGATTCTGTCAATTCTTTACTAAATAATCTGATTGGTTTTTTGTCTCCTTTACGATTTACTTATACTATATAATTATCGAACTTATTCACAGTTCAGGGCGTATTTTGAAATCTGGGTCTTTTTTACGATTTGCATTTGATTTTTTTTTTTATTATTATCAGTACAGAATTAGTAAATTTCATCAAAATATAGGTATTTTACGCCCTCTTGGCCCTTGGGTAAATACGCCCCTGCTTATTCACCCTGAAAATGTTATGGTAACTTCTTGTTTTTGCGTTAGGCGATCAGAGCTTAGCAGCTTAAGATCCTGTATTTATTAAAGACATAAAGAGCGTTTAAAATTTGAGAGTATGAACATGGAATTATGCCAGACTCGTTTGTACACCGAAATAAATACTAATTATAATTTGAATTCACTGAATCTTTTAAAGTTTGATGCATATATTTATTGGGGAAACAAGGTAGGTATTCCATGTTATTTAAATATTATTCAAAATAACCAATTTTATATTGCCTACAGAACAATTTACTTTATCAGATTTGCATAGCCTTAAGATAATTATTAACCAACCTGTAGAAATAGAATCATATTTTTTTCTTCTCATAAAGTTCCTTTTAAATGCGAGCATGAATTTTATCCCCATGAGACAGCACTGTCGACAGAAATCGAATTATATCCCTCACAAGCCATTTGCGTAATAGTATGACCACACCCAAGTTTTGAAATTTAAACGTGCAACATTAAAATAGAAGTTTCGTCGAAAATAGACTTTAAACACTCATAGACAAAAACTAAAATCAAGTGGCATGAGCAGTTCAGTTTAACTAGTCGAGGTGTAATAGTATTATCCACCAACGCGGAGTCATGTGAGATTCTTTAAACGTCAGAGCTTGCTAATTCTGTTTACAAATAGATTTTTATTATCACCACAGTTGTATAAAAAATATAAATTACTAGCTGACTCGGCGAACTTCGTACCGCCCAAAAGTAATAATTTGCAATAAATTAAAATTGCGACTATAATTTGAGATTTAAACTATCCTATCTCTCAAGTTGGATCGAACTGCACATGGTGTGCGAATTTTATAATAATCGGTTCAGTGGTTTAGGAGTCCATTGAGGACAAACATTGTGACACGAGATTTATATATATTAAGATTATAGATTACTAGCTGACCCAGCGAACTTCGTACCGCCATAAAAATAGGGGCAGGTAGTAGAAGAGAAAACTTAGGGTTGTATGTATATTTTAATACCATATTTAAAAAAATATGTCCAAAAAAATTTTAGGGGTGTGTAACGTAGTGTTCTATCAATTTCCTGGGATAATATTCCTCCTAACCCATATCAGAACACTACGTTACAATACCCAATAGTTTGAATTTTGGCGCGAAGGCGAATTGTAGGTTTCAGAACACTACGTTACAGGTGGACAACCATTATCACTTATGGATATGAAAATTAGATAGTAGCCGATTCTCAGACCCACGGAATATGCATATAAAATTTCATAAAAATCAATCAGGCCGTTTCGGAGGAGTATGGTAACTAACATTGTGACACGAGAATTTTATATATAAGATTTTTACGGTTTAATGGTCGACTGAAAATAGCGTCTGAAAACGATTACTTTTGATCTTTTTTGTAAATAACAAAAATATTACATTGGAGTCAGTGTTAAAGTTTTTCTGTAAGAAAATTTAAAATATTTGTCCAATGAATTAATGCAAGATTAATCCGACAATTTTAAAAATTATGTTAATAACCATTTTTTTTTAATTGATCGATTTTTTTTATTAGATCAGTAGTAAAAACTCAATTTACCGTAGATATATAAACATAAGATTAACTTTCATTAAGAACTAGGAATAATGGAAGATGTTATTCTTAAGTTTCGCCATCTTAAACATAACGCTGTCTCTCCTAGATTCCTAGGAAAGAATAGATATAATAATTTGCATATTAAGATAGTTTGAAATTACGTTACTATTCACTTGAAACACACTTGACTACATGATTTATTTTAATTTTATGTTTTAACTTTACAAGCTAATTAAGACAATGATACAGGTTATAAGTATTACCGCAAAAAAAAGTAAATAATAATGTTAAGGTTTCATAATTACATAATTAGTGAGTTAACGCAGAGACATACGTGAACTCGTTATGCAATTACAAAACCTTTAAAAGGACAATGTTAAAATTGGCCTAAGAACCAACACCAATTTGGCATTTATGATAATTCTTAGTATATTTTTTGCGATAATTATCAGTATTTAGATTGTGACGGACACTTCCAGTTAAGTAAGCTAAATTAAAAAGTTAATAAATAATCTGAGACAATAAATACCATTTTATGTGTATAATCTATGACAGCGCTGAAAACAAAAAACACTTTCTTCCTAATGCTGGCACTTCACTTGGCTATTCGTATTTGCTATATAGAAACATGACATCAGTCTGTCCTTTTCATTCCTTATTAAGCATGACATGGACAAACAGTTGTCAAGTGAAGGGCCGGCATAAACATGATACTCTTTGGTTGTGGTGCAGGCAGTTTGCATTCTCTCTAATCTGCGGCATTCGTGCATTCTCGTCGAAGAGTACTTTTTATATACGGAAAATTCTCGTTCGGATCACCTGTTCTGTGTGTTTATTTGCGATTGTTTTTCCTTTAATTTAACTATTACTATTTCGGCTATCTAATATGCCATCGATGTTACCAAAGAGCACCTTATTGAGCCGAGTTAATATAATTTTAATAAACTCCTTTTATTTTTAGTTTCAACATAGCTGCTAAACTGCTAACACAGGTTGATTTTTTATTTTCATCTTTTTATTAATTCATTGATTTCCCCAATAATGTTAACAATTTATTACATCGCACGGAACATTAAATAATAATCACTCAAACCATTTCTTTGTACAAGAAGATTAGGATCCCAATGAAAAGATTTTTCAAAGGGCCTCTCAAATTTAAATCAACTTTTCACTTTTACAATATAACTTGGATAAATAAAATAAATATAATTTACATTCCCTTAATTAAAATAACAATAAATTGAGCTAAAATTAATATTATGATAAATATAATTATATTATTAAAAATAAACAACACAAGGCACTTTATTAAAAAAAACTAAAAATGGTTTTCTAGTGTTCTCCACACAAAGATAAGATAATAATTGTTACAACAAATGTAGTAAGGACTATTTTACTTCAAATTGATTTATTTAGGACATGCTCAGACAGTGCTGAGCCTATTCTTATTTTATAGTAATCCGAGAATTTGCTTTTCTGAAACTCTGGGTGTTCATATATCTCAACTACCGTTATCAGACCGGTTTGCGACGAGATTACTTATAAAAATATCCAATAATATAAAAAAAAACCTTACAAAGCTGTTTCATCAAACACCTTTGGTCGATAGATAAAGCAGCAGACTTTACAAAAGAGTAATGTAAATAAAAGTTCAAATATATCTAGTACCTAACCTTATTGATAATATATTAAGCAAATGTTAGCAAAGCTTAACGCATGTTGGTACTAAGCATCTAAAAGCAATGATGAACATGATTTATTATAATTTATATCGGATAATATCCTATTTATTTCTTGACAACATTGACTTTTACTCTCTAAAAATCTACATAGTAAAGAAAAATAAAACTTGAAGGCGATAACAGGATAATTAAATGATCAAACGAACTTACCTAAGAGAAGTTCGATCTGAATTATCCTGTTATTGCCGAAGAAATTTAGGATCCCTCCCACCCTAATATTTTTTACCCCCTAGTTATCTAGGACAACATCTTCAATGTATTTTCTTATTCTCTAAAATATATGAGCATCGAACCGATGAGCAACGGCGGCGGGGCGTGGTGAAGAGAGGGGTTACCCCACTTTTTTACTATGCTCTAAACTGTGTGCGGACTGGCTGGTCGTACTTAGGGTACTACACAGTAAAGAAAAATAAATATTTTCGGCGATAACAGGATAATTCAGATCGAACTTCACTTAGGTAAGTTCGTTTGATCATTCAAATATTTATGGGGGTGTGAGTACGTTTACTGTTTATAACTGTTCGCACAATTTGTGTTTACACGATTTTTAAGTGTCTCGGGTTACTTCACCATGTATGTTTTTTATGAAATCGAGAAAAACAACACTGTGGGTACAGCTCATAAATTAATATCTATAGTACCTGTCTGGTGGATGAAAGTTTGTTGCCCAAATGTTTTGTTAATTATTTGTATTGTAGCCAAACTATGATAGATTCATGTAATGTTTCACGGTATGATATTGTGGGTATTGGGAAAGTCGTAAATAGATTGTTTATTCTTCACCTAACAACAGGGTGCTACGAATACATTCGTTTATGTTATTTGTATTGCCAAGGGTTCGTCCAAAGTTATCACACTCACATTTATAAAAAATACTTATATTGAATTTGGTTAATTGCTAAGAATAACTGGTAAATTTTCGCGATCCTAAAAGTGGCAAAATACAACCAACAGCAAATGAAATTCATCAAAACAATAAACTGTGGAAAGAATGAGAAAATGTAATCGCATTTACATACGCGTACGCTTAAATTGAAATAAGGGTGTATGATGTTGGCCAATATTTCTCTGATTGTTTTTATATGTACTGATTTTACAATCACTAGATAAAATGCTTTGATACACTGTTATATCATTTGTTTTATTATGATTGTACTGTTTTGATGGTGGTGATGGCAAGTGGCCATCATAAGTATATAGATATGTAGACTTGTATACACCCCGGTGAACTTCTTAAGCATCGACCATAGCCAAGGCAGCCTTCGCAGTAGCAATTTTACATACAGACTCCTAATACGTAAGTTTATTTGTATGTGCTTTTACTCAAGGAGTTTGCCGCTACCTAAACTCGTAGAACCCCATCCCTGTACCGTGGAGTCCTGGAAACCCTACATTGCGTTACATTAAGTTTTATCTGGTAATTGAAAAATCAGATTCGAATGACCAAAGATTGACGAATTAGTGAGATAATAAAATGCCTTCATAAAGCAATAATTAGCTTTAAGGTATTTAAGTTACTTAGGAATCATGTCTTCGTAATATATTACCCATTTTAATGACATAGTATAGAGATTAACACAAAATAGATAATTATGTAAAGTAATTATACGTTTCAGAGCAATTTTATAATAGTTTGAAAAATATTTTGATCTTTGTTACTACTTACACTGGTATTATTTGTTTGACTTTATTTTGTTTATTTAATGAGCACTTAGATAGTAAGTATTCATTCAAGTGCCATATATTTGTTGTTGATATACAAATCTTTTAAGTTTTAAGCAAAGAGCATACAAAGTGTTGCTCTATGGTATAAATTACAAAGTTCGTGTGTTTTTGTTCTTTAATTACGATGACGATGATCAAAGTCTAGAATTTTAGATTTATTAGAAAATAAGATGACTAAATTATTATCATACTGTCTTAAAAAAATCACTTCACCAAATATTATCTAATTAGGTATGAATTAGGTTTCCTTGTCTTAAAATAGTTTAAAATCTTAGTACCTATACATATAATTCCGAAGAAAATATACTTATTTGAATTGATCCCTGTTTTTTTTGTATTTTAATTATGTGAATATTTGATAAATTCTGAATAATGATAAAAGTATTTATTATACGGTTTATTATATTTTTTTATGTAACTGCTAAAACCATTCAACTGAATATAAGTGCATTTAACTCTGATCTGAATGTAGATATAAAGATATTTATAAATAAGTTAATAATAGTAAGTAACTGAGTACCTATTTCAAACATAATTTTGTTTTAATAATAATATGTACTTATATTTATGTACTTTTATATTATTGTTTATGTACTTTATTATGATATTTAGTTAAAATAAGAAGTAATTTTCATTTGTTAATACTTAGTTATAACATTATATAATAATATATTATTATTATTATATATCTTTGTATATATTTTTTTAATTATCTATATTGACGTGACAACGTCTTAAATTAGGTTGCGGCTGGGAGTCACTTATGAAAAAGTGTAACGCTCGGTAACGTTACGATGAGTTTAAGTTTACATGTACAATGTTTTAGTAAACAAAATATATTTCTATAGTTAAAATTTGTGCAATTCTTATTTTCATTCAATTCCTTGTTCCTATTGTGCAATTTAATTATATTCATATCAATAAATATTCTACCGAGAAAAAGACGTTGTCACGTAAAATCTTCGCCCGTAAAACCGACTTTACAGGCAACCATTTTTTTTATTAATATAATAAAGATTGAAAATCCATGTCTGAAGTCATTGGTTCGATTCCTAGTCGAGACAATATAGGAACAGAGTTTTTCTGTATTGCCTTGAATATGGGTGGTTGTGACGCGTCATTATAGACTTCTATAAATAAACATTATAATTGAATACAGTGGAATTAAAATAGTATTGTTTGACAATTTTAATCAATATTTTTAAAACAGTATGGATATACAGTTAGGTACTAGATAATTATAATTTGTATGTATCAGTTTGTTATAATAGTGTGTAAGATTTATAAATTAAGTGGCTAAATAAAACACGTTGGTTTGCGTTTGTGTATTTTTTCTATCTAACATAAGCAAATGCCCAAAGGGACGAATCGTTATAGTTCCTCTCAAATCCTTTGATACGAATACGATGATAAGGTTGACACAAGCGCTGGGAGCGTTTTTTGAACTTACGAATATTTTTAAGCTAATATTTCTGAACTGGAACCACACAACAACATACCCCAAAAGCATAACAAGTAAGCCTAATTTTACCGTGCAGATGCAAAAGTCTGTCGACGTAATTGGTATTTACAAAAAAAATATCAAAGGTCAGTTTGATACTATTTACGATTGTGTCAAGAACTACTTACTGAACAGTTAGTTAGAACCCTTTGTTTGAACCAAGAAACAAGTCATACTAGTTTTGAATAAAATTTGTAGAATACTTGTGGCTGTTTAAAACATTAATTCATTTAAAACTGCATAGACAGCTAGTATCTTACAAGTGTAAATCACTTATTTACTTCACATATTTTACTTATCCAACAAGTTTGATGCAAGAAATGTGTACTACATGTTTTACACATGTATATAAGTGTAAACAAAACTTTCAGACATTGTATAAAATTGTAAAATACATGTATTATGGCTTGGTGTAAACGTTATTAACTAAGTGTAATAAACAATTACACAAGTGACAGTTTTTTGTTAAAAATCTCTGATTTCCTCAACATTTAGCACGGGGAATTGTCTATATAACATTCTTAATATGATGGCACTTTTGTACATTAATGTCCATATCGTTCAATGACACCAATCTACAAGCCTTTCTATATCATTCTGAAAAAGTTTTACTTTATCCTGTGAATCGCAACCAGTTTAAGATAAACGGCGAACATAAAAGGTTTTGAAAAAAATGAAAACTGTCGGATATGTCGTTAATAAAAAATAATGGGTGCGTGTACTTATGTAGGCGCGTGAGAAGTTATCCTTCTTTGGCATCGTTTAAAATTAGATTTTAATTGCATGCAAATAATTAATTACAATAAATTAATAAAAAGTCTGAAAAAGGACACAGTCAATAAAGTTCAGTTTTAATTTGAAAAAATAAATAAATAATCAAAATATTCAATTAAAATGACGCTACTGAATATAATTTATTAGAACATAATGTGATTTGCACTTGTATGAAACTCAAACACGTATTCCGAATATACAAACTAGAAACATGTGGATAAATATTATAAATATGAATACCTATAACTGTTACTTTATTACAAAAAATAAAGATGTGGCTTTTGGTTGTACTACACCAATGGGCAAGAGATGGCGCTGTAGTCTCCTGAATCGCGCTTTGGTTCCGTTGTTCCAGATTAATAAATACTTTTGATAGGCCTTCACAATGCAGTCGTTAGCACCCACTAAATAGAGATTCTATTTCTATTTTGTTGGTAGATTTTCTTAATGTGCGGTAAACACAAAAGTAACGCATGAAGTTGGTCGCTAAAGCGACCAACTTCATGCTGTTAAAATTTTGTGTTACATGATGCGCGCGCATCTTAAAATTTCACTCTCAACATATTTTTTCATAACGCGCCTAAAGAAGTATAACTTCAAAAAGTTAAAAAAGAGAGGTGCTATATGTGAGCCTAGTGGCACACCGGACGTTTTAGTAAGGTCACGAGATTGAAAACCATTGAGGACTACATAGAAGCTTCTATCATATAAATAGGATTTAATCCACTCAAGCAAAGACCCCGTAATTCCATATGCCTCCAATTTGACAAGTAAAAAACCATGAGACACCTTATCAAATGCCTTGCTAAAGTCTGCATATATTACGTCCACTTGTCTCCTGCGTCGAGATAAGCGATCACAATTTCAGTAAACAAAGTAAAATTAGTTGAAGTGGACTTACCCTTATCAAAGCCATGCTGCGAGTCGGTGAGGTAAAGGTTCATATGATTTGTCAGAAAAGGGCACAAAAGTGACTCAAATATCTTGGCAAGGGTTGACAATTATACCATATTGGTCTATAGTTTTGAACCATATCCTCTTTTATCAGTTTTGTGAATTTGCACCACCTTAGCCGTCTTCCAAGCTTCCGGAAATGTTTGCAACGATTTATAATAAATTTTATAGATTGCTGGAAGCAATTCTTTATCACAGGCTGCAATTAAAGCAGGAAGAAGACTGTCTAGTCCTGACCCTTTTGTGATATCTAGCTTTGAGTTTTATCAGTATAGATTCTTCAGTGAGAAATGGAGACGTTAATAGTATCTGGGCATAATTTAAAAAAAAATAGTAGTTGATTCATAATTTATTTGATTAGGG